CTTTTAATCGTCTTTTATTATTCTTTCGTTTTACTTTTTTTTTTTTTCTTTTTACGAAAGTACGTTCGATTTTATTTTTCGTAACTTTTTCTTTTTTATTAATTCTTTTTAAACTTCATTTTAAGCTTTATTAAAACCTTAATTCACTTAACCCAATCGCTTTTATAGCATTTTTAATAAAGCAAACCTTAAAACCGAAAAAGAAATTTAAAGTTAAGCACGCTAAAGATAAAAATAGCTTTTATATTTAAGCTTTACTCGGTCTTATAGCAAAAATCATTTTTTCCGAAGCTAACTCTTTTAAATCTTTCGAACCGAAGATTTATAAATAAGCTATAGCCGATAATAATCGAACGGCTTAGCTAAAAGCTATAATCGAAAAATAGAAATTACTTTACGAAAACAATACTTAAGACTTTATCGACTTATTTACGACTTAGCGCGTTTTTCTCGATCGATAAATATATAAATACAAGCGAAGACTTAACGGCTTTATAATCTGTTAAAAAGCACGTTAAATCGTTAAAAAAGATTAATAAAAAAAAAGCATTAAGTATATCGAGACTTTTACTACGGTCGTTAAGCTTATAAGTTATAAAATGATTTTCGTTATCGCCGCTATTTTAAATTAAAAGATCGATTAAATAAATATTAAGACCGCGTTTTTATATAAGAAAATTACCGAATCCGTTTACGTAAAACAATTTACTAAGCTTAAAAACGAGATTAAAAAGATTTGCAAATTAAACCGCGCATTTTATAGATTTAAATAAGCTTTTCGCGTTTAATATAATACTTTATTCGAATTTTTTATCGAAATAAGATTTAAACTTTTCGGCATTAACGCAAGCGTTTTCTATAAAGGGAAGGTTATTATCGCTATTTACGTTGATGACTTACTTATCTTCGGCCGTAATCGCGTCGAAATTAATAGACTTAAAGCTATTTTATTTAAATGTTTTTAAATGATTAATCTCGGATTAATAGCTTATTATTTAAGCATAATAATTACTCGAGATCGCGCTAATCGAACGCTTAATCTCGGATAATAAGCTTATATCGAAAAGATTATTTAAGACTTCGAAATAAAAAATTATAATACTTACGATACATCGATAAAAGTTTTTTTTAAAGTTTTAATTCTACTTTTATTAAAGTATTAAGCCTCTTTCGAGCTTCGTTACAAATATTAACGACTTATCGGTTCGCTTATATACGTTATGCTAAGTTTTTAACTTGACATTGCTTTTTTAGTTTTTATAATTAATCGTTTTGCTTTAAATTTAATTATAAAACATATAAAAGCAGCGAAACGCATCGTTCGCTACTTAAAAGAAACTATTCGCTACGAACTCGTTTATTGAAAAGACTTAAGCGACTTAACCGGCTTCTTTAACGCGGATTAAAATAGTTATTAATTAATACGCAAATCTATAAAAAGCTTTGTTTTTAATATCGAAAGCGAAGCAATTAGCTAGTCTTCGAAACGGCAACTTACCGTTGCTTTATCTTCGTGCGAATTCGAATTAATAACCGAAACGAAAGCCGTTAAAAAAGTAATTTAGCTTTAGCGCTTTTTAATCGAAATACTTTCGCAAGAAAAGACGGTTTTAATTTTGATTTATTGCGATAATTAAAAAGCGATCGCATTAATTAAGAACACTTAATTTTACTATCGAACTAAGCATATTTACCTTCGTTATATATTTATTTAAAAAGCCGTACGAAATAGCTTAATAGATTTAAAATAAGTCGCTATTGCAAATTAAATCGCTAACGATCTAATTAAGCTATTAGCTAAGCGATAGTTTAAAGAATTTAAAAAAGCGATTGGAATGCTAAAAGTTTGATATCACGTAATCAAAGCACTTTTATTATCGATCTATTTAACTTGGCTTTTTTTTTAATTAAAAGTGGTTTTAAACGATAAAGATCGATTTTTTTTAATCACTTTATTTAATTATTAAAGTTTTAAAAGATTTGACCGTAGCGGCGTAAACTTAAACTAATATTTTTATAAACTTATAAAATCTTTTTTTCTTTAAGATCTTTGCGATCGATAAAATATAAAAGATTAATTATAATTTACTTTTCTTTTTAATTATATACTTTATCACTTTACTCTTTTTAAATTATGCTTCGAATAAAAAAGGTCGTTAAGCAAATTATACGTTTTAGCGACTTAGACTTTTTTAAATCCGATCGCGATAATCTCTTTTTCTTCGAAATCAAAACCGATAAAGAGCTTTGCACTCGTATTAAAGCTCGTACGAGAATTATTAAAGCTAGTAGCTTAATATTCGTTAAAGAAGCTCGAAAAAACGCTTGCTTTTAAAAACATAATTTATAATAAAGAAAACGAAGACTTTAATTCTTGCTTTACGACTTTTTTTTATAAAGCTTTTTTATCGGTGCCGACGAAGTCGGCAACGCTATTAAGTTAAATTAACAGATGATTTCGAACTTAAAAGAATTATAATTAAATGCTATTATCGACGAGATAGCGGGTTACTTGACTTTGCTAACGATGAATTTCGAATATTATTAATTATATTATTTAATAAATAAAACTAGCATTTCATACTAAATTCTTTTTTCTCGATTATTCTTTTATATCGATTGCAAAAAGCAAGTTAATAGCTATATTAAGATTAAAGATAATTATACTTTTTTTTTTAATTCGCTAAACTGCTTACGAAACGTAATAATAGACCGGTCACTTTTCGTTTCGGCTGGTTCATTATAAAAACGGAAAGATAAGTTAGTAACTAGCCGAAAGAAAAAGGCTTTTAGCCGAACGATTACGCTTAAGCAGCTTAATAATAAAAAAATAATAAAAAGTTCAATCTCGCGATTTATAATTGCAATTACTTTAATACCGATCTTAACGAAGTTTATAAGTCCGCGCTTCTTTTTTTATAAAAAGAATTTATTAAAATATATCTTAGCTAATAAAAAAGCTTTAATAAAAAAGATCTTTGGATTTTCGGCTTAATTAACGGCAATCCAAACAACTAATGCGTGACTTACACCGCTACTTAGCTACGTAATATATTAAGCAACGAGAATTGGAAATACTAGCTACTATTAAAAAACGAGCTTAAATAAAAAGAAGCAAAGAAAATCAATTAGTTTAACTTAAAACGGAAAATATAAATAAAAGCTGCTTTAATTTCACGCTAAGAATCTTTGTCGGAAATTAAGACTCGATCCTCTTAAGCTTTATCGCGCAGATCTTTTATTTCTCGAATAGAAAATAACGCCGAAAATTCGACAAGCATTACGCAGTATTCTTTTCTATTAGCTAATAATGCTGCCAATCACCTTTCGAATCAGTTAGCAAAAGAAGAGGATAGCTAAGTGAAAAGACGAGAACTAAGGATTAAGATGATCTTCTTTTTTTAAAAAACAAGCGAGCAATTAGATTAGTCTCTTGGTTTTTTTTTTATAATTAGGTTTTTCAGCCTTTGCTGTTTTTTCTTTGTAAAATACTCCTATGTCCTTTCTTATTTTTCTTTTCGGATCTACTTTCAGTGAGAGCCTTATTCATAAACTTCAATAAGAGTCTTTTTTATTTGAATAAGTCTTGAGTAAGAGTGTCGGATGTGATTAAGTGATAAACCTATTATCGGATGTGATCAAGTGATAGACCTATCACGTGTCAAGACCTCTCTAGATATATAAGTAAAGGGCTACTCCTTAAGTTCATTAGACAATCAATGAAGAATCTTTCTATTCATTTTCCTCCCCGTGTTACCGTTCAACATCTTGATCTATAATTAATTTGCGATAAGACAAGTAAGATTAAGAATAAAATAAAGAATTTATTAAAGTTATCCGAGTTCTATTTTATCGTAAAAGCTAAAGCGCATTAACGTAATACGGCTAAATCGTTTAAAACATAATAGTCTCGATAAAAAAGTTTTTAATCGATATTAAATATAAATAAAGTATATATATAAAAAGTAGATTTATAGCAAGTTAGATCTCGGAAGATTAAGGTTCATTTCGGCGTATTCCGTCGAAAAGTCTACAAATATATATATATATATATAGACCTTAAAAAACATTATTATCCAATATAAGTTATTACTAAAGTGTTTTTAAAAACAAAAGGTCGTATGTTTTTAAAAAAAGATATAAAAAGTTAGCGATGAACGCAAGCAATAAAAAGAAAGAGTTATATATATCGTTAGATAATAATTTTAAAAAAGAATATCGTATTCCGTTTTGTTTCGTTTGATTCTATTTCTACGAAGAGTTCGATGCTAAAGAAGTCGCAAAGAGTATTAATTATAATATTCGGCGCTAAAAAAGTCGTAACAAGGCTCATAACCTATTAAACGGTAACACGAAGAAAGAAGATAAGTAAAAAGATTCTTTATTCTTATCTAATAAACTTAAGGAGTAGCCTTTTACTTATACATCTAGAGAGGTCTTGACACGTGATAGGTCTATCACCTGATCACATCCGACACAGGACTCGCTGTAAAAAGCGACCCGTGGACGTTAAACGAATACTACTATTACTACTACTACCTTATCACCGTCATTACTTCACCGTCGCTATTACCTCACCGCCGCTACTACCTCACCGTCGCTACTACTTACCTTATCGCCGCTATTACCTCACCGCCGCTACTACCTCACCGCCGCTACTACCTCACCGCCGCCACTACCTTACCGCCGCTACTATTTGCTAGAAGCGATACTAGAGGCAAAACAATACTAGAGGCGATATTAGTGGCAAGGCAATACTAGAGGCAGCGCTGGTGGCGATACTAGTAGCGATACTGATAACGATACTAGTAGCAAAGCAATGCTGGTAGCGATACTGGTAGCAAGGCAATACTGGTGGCAAGGCAATGCTAGAAGCGATACTGGTGGCAAAGCAATGCTGGTGGCGATACTAGTAGCAAGGCAATACTGGTGGCAAGGCAATACTAGAGGCGATACTGGTGGCAAGGCAATACTGGAGGCGATACTGGTGGCAAAGCAATGCTGGAAGCGATACTGGTAGCAAGGCAATATTAATAGTAGTATAAATAATAATAAAGTTAAAATTAATAAGGTATTAGTAAAGTGTTAATAAGGTTTTAATAATAATAATTAATAAAGTTAATAGTAATTTAATTAAGTATAATAATCGAATTATAAAGTGTAGCAACCGAGTATACTCGATTGTAAATCGAGTACTCGGTGTAGCAACTAAGTGCATTCGGTTGTAAATCGAGTACTCGGTGTTCATTCGATTGTAAATCGAATATACGTTTTTAAAGTTATTTAAACTATAACCGAGTATACACCGAGTATTCGATTTACAACCGAGTGCACTCGGTTGCTACACTAAAACATTAAGGTGTAAGTAAGGTGTAAGTAAGGTGTTACAACCGAGTGCACTCGGTTGCTATACCTAAGGGTTGCGCCCGTAAGAAGCTAAAAAAAACTAAGCTGTTTTTGTTAAAACTTTAAAAGCCGAGTTTCGTAAAAACGATACTTAACAAATCAAAGACTCGATCGCTTTTTTATAAGAATTTGTTATGCAAGAACGAAATGTTAATAACTTAAAAAACTATTATCGCATTTTCTTTCGAGTTTTCGAAAGACTTACTTCGATACACTTCTTAAGTAAAACCGAACAAAGCCGCTTGTTTTTTTTCGGATTGCTCGTCGGAATTCGAAACAAAACGATTAAGCATTGTGTTACGGTAATAAGAAGGCGCCGGGTCACGTTCCAGGTCACGCGGAAGAGTACAAGACGATACGCGTATAAGTTGCACGTTACCTCGTGACTTTAAGCTCCCGTCTTAGCAAGACTTCTTATAAGACCTTTTCTTTAGCACTCTTTCTTTTTCTTTCCTTTTCATCTTTTTTTCTTATTATAAAGCGTACTCTTAAGTAGCAATACAATCATACTGCTTTCGACAGCCGTAATATAAAGAAAGATCAATTTCAATTCGTTAAAAAGCATTGTATCGATCGTTGCTACGCGTAACAAACGGCTAGCACTCTCTTTCCTCGAGTATTGATGCTTTGATCAAACCTCTTCGCTGATTATAATTTTAAAAAAAGCTAAACTCTTTACTATTCGACTTGCTTTTGTTATTTAAATACTTTTTAAAACACTCTTTTCCTTTCGAAAACGATAAGCACGCGCACGGACTATATACAAACGGACTTACAAACGCATTAAATTTTTTTTTTTCTTTTCTCTTTTACATATTGCAAAAAGGATTCCGACGCTCTTTTAAACTTGCGTTGCGATTTGACACTTTAATATATACTCTACTTGAAAGCTTTAAAAACGTATACGCTTTATTTGTATTGATCTTCCTTTTTCTTATTAAATTACTATTCAACATTAAGTCCTTCACTTCGCAAAGCAATTGATAATTAGCTTTCCCGTTGCAATTCTATCTTCAAGCTTTTTATATAACAGCGTATATAAAGCAGCAGCTTGTTACCGCTAAAGAACTTTACACCTTTTTGCAGCAACTACGATTAAAGCAACGTCTATTAAACTTAAAAGAAAGAAAGAAAACCTATTAAATACTAAAGAACTTACGAACTTTATAGCTAAAATCTACTTTGCTTAACCTCGCTTACGACTTCTTAATTAAATGGCTAAACAAGCTTAAAACGTTCTAAACCAGCTTGCTAAAGTAACTAATTAAAACTGCTTTAACTTCTGCGAATAAGATAAAGCTATTAAGCTAAAAAGCAAAAAGATCTACGCGAACAAAGCTATATACGTTCGCTAGCTTTATATCAACTCCTTCTTTTATAAAGATTCTAGCACTTGCGATTGTAAAAGCCTTTTCTCTCTTCGAAAAATTCCTTTTTCTAGCAAGCGCTTAAGCCGTACTAAAAGCATACAATTAATCGCACGAGATAAACAAAAGTCTTATAAAAAGCAAAGATAAAGAAATCCTTCTTTTATCTTTTATATCACTTACTAAAGCTATACCACCGTTTTAAAAACAAAGCGCTAATATATCTACGGGTTTCACTCGAGAATAGCAGCGAGCTATTAACGTAACTATCGTATTAGCAATTGCAACGGCACTCAACTAAACCTCTTAAGTACTCTTACTATTAGCGGCAAGCCTTTAACTAACTTTAATATATTACTTTTCCGTTATCGATAATACTATGCTTGCTACAGACTATAATAAGCTCAAGTAGCTTCGGACGCTATTCACAAACAACTTAAAAGACATCGAATACGACGCTTGAAAAATAAATATAAAGCTTTTCATTAAAACCAATTCTAACAACTTCCGCAAAAGGCTCTCACAAGTAAAAGCATACTTCACTTGCACAGCTAAAGAAGCGAAATCTATTATCTTAGCTTATATAGACCTCGATACAAAAAACGTTTAAAACGCGGCCGAAGTCTTAAAAGCTTTAAACGAGCGATTCTTTAACCACAATTGCGTTCAAAGAGCTCGCTAAAAATATTACAAATTAACGATGTCTAGCAATATATCTTATAATAAATTCCGAGTCTTTTTCACGCGCTACGCAATTGCAAGCAAGATCTTTAAAGACCGCTAGTTCGAAGATATATATAAGAAAGTATCTTCAGCTCTTAAAACTGACTTTCGGATCAAGAAGTATAAAATAAATAGCAATTACAAAGCACTTAACGAATACTTAACTATTATAAACCGAGAATCGCGCAATATTCGCGCGAAAAAGATAGCTTTATTTCGCCGTACTTTAACCGTCATATTCAATCAAACAGCTAGTTTATTACCGAAAAGAGTCTTTCGTACTTTTAATTAGCAATCCTTTCCGCTTAAACTAGCACCTCGTACTTACTCTTTAAGATCTATACTTCCGCGCTAACCTTCTCTTACTTTAAAAGAACGCAAAGAAAGATCTATAAGTCTACGTATTGCAAGCTTAGATTTAATATATTTTAATTGCAGCAAAAAAAGCTACTTCAAAGTAAATTGTCTTAACTTTAAGCTAAAGCAAAAGATAACTAAAATAAACGTTAAAGATATAAAAGAAAATAAAATAACGAAAAACTATTAAGCCGTAACAAAGACTTTTACTATAACATAAGTCATAACTTATAGCAAGATTTAAAATCCGACTTCAGCCTTTTTATAAAAGGAAAGCAATTTCTAGTACCGATAGAGCTAGCTCGCAATAAATTATTCATCAAAACAATTGCATATCTTAATAATAAAGCAAACATTTTTAGCGCTTTTCGAACACAATTAACATATAAGCTAAGCAAAACCTTAAGCACCCTTTTACTTAAAATACTTAAGCCAATCGTCTTTATTAGCTATAACGGCGTTAAAAAAGAACTTATTCGTTAAGTGATCTTATTAACACTTATAATCGATAAGCGTTGCATTAACTTCCTTTTTTTAATTACAAACTTAAGCTTTATAAACGTTTTGCTAAGCCGGAAATTCTTCGAACATTACGACTTATATTAAAGCTTTAAAAAGCGCAAACAGCTTTTTTAGTTATCTAATATGCCGATCATTCTTTACTTCGATTCACGTATTTTTATTAATTTATTACTTCTTAAACACAACACTTATTAAACAAATGCATTTAAAAGAAACGCGCTAATAAAAAAACAAAATGCAACGGAGCTAAACTTAGCGCACGCTCTTAAAAAAGCATTAAAACCGCCTAGCGTTAATACTATTAAATAGCGCGAGTCTAGTTTTCATAAAGATATGAAAAAACGGCTAGCCGCAATAAAAAAGCTTTTAAAAGAAAGAAGAATTATAAAAAAAGTCAATATAATATCGTATAAAAACACTTTTCCGAATACTGCAAAACCGATCTTATATATAACTAATATTAGCTTGATTTCCGCTAACGCTTTCTCGACCGCATATAAAAGGCACAAAAAGAACGTTATAAAAGCTAAACGAGAAAAAACAATAGTATTAAACGAATTCACGTTCTTCATTTTAATTTACGCAATCAATATAAAACAAACTCGAAAAAAAATCGAATCTTAAGACTTAAAAACCTTTTAAATTGCGAAACTAAAACATAAAACGATTATAAAAGCTTTAGCAAACAAGTACGAAAAGAACGAAGCGTTAATACAAGCTCGACTACTATATTACTATAATGAATTTAAAAACTTATTCTTAAAAGAAACCTCGAACGTCTTCGCACGATGCCGCTTTAAAATCGATTATAAGATTAACCTTATAATTATAAACAACTTGATAATAGAACCTTTGCGTAAGCTTATAAACGCATAGCTATCGGAGATCAAGCGGTATATTTAAGAAAACTTTTATAAAAGATTTATTAAACTTTCGAATGCTTTTTACGTAGCGCTAATTCTCTTTATTAAAAAAGCAAACGGTTTTATAAAACTTTGCGTCGACTACCGCAAATTAAATGCATTAACGAAAAAAAACGAATACTTATTACTTTTAATTAACGAAATGATAATTAAGATCTCTTAAGCTAAAGTATTTATAAAAATAAATATCTAGCAAGCTTTCTATCGTATAAGAATCAACTAAAAAGACGAAAAGAAAATAACATAACGTTGCAAATTCGAGATATATAAATACAAAGTTCTTCTTTTCGGCTTGACAAACGGTCTAGCTACTTTTTAACGCTTTATTAACGATATCTTTATAAAACACTTAAACGAATTCTGCTCGGCGTACTTAAACGATATATTAATATACTCAACTAATAAAAAAAACTACATAAAGCACGTTAAGAAAGTAATAAAGATCTTATCCGATTATAACTTGCAAATAGATATTAAAAAATGTAAATTCGAGGTTATCAAGACTAAGTTCTTAAGGTTCGTTTTTATTATCGAAAGAGTCAAAGTAAACTTAAACAAAATCGCAATGATTACAAGCTAATAATACGTTACAAACATTCGAGGAATATAGTGACAGATAGCGTATACCTAGGTAGGTGGAGCAGATCAAGGTCTAAAAGATGGCGATAAAAGTGTCTGATCTATTCAAAAGAGCAGAAGAAGAGCAACTGCAGATATGTATATATAATACGTGGCCTTTAAGGAGCTTGGCAGCACGTGCAAAGAAGCACGTAAGGTAAAGACTACATTATGCAACACACCTTTTAGTTGCGAAGCGATTGCTTAATTAACAAAAGGCTCGCTTAAAAAAAGAAAGAAAAAACAAACGAAAAAACTTAAGGAAAATCTA